TTTAAGACATAAAACAGAGTCTACCTCTACGGTGTAGAAGAACAGGAACTGAAAAGCTCATTCTCTACTACTGAGATACACTCAGCGATACGGAAATTCGTTATTTATGTCTATTATGACGTTTTATTTGACTGGTGTGCTATAAAACGTTTGTCTGCAATATTCTCGTTATATTTACACTCTTATGATTAATTTTGTATTGCTCAGGTTCATAACGTGGAAATTTAATCAACGGGCTTTTTGACTCAGTAATAATCTTGATTATGTTGGCCGTCTCTGGAGCTTTCACTCGACATTTGATCAATTAGTTGATTTTTGAGCTCTTTGAGCTCTAAGGCTTAAAATTGGTTCAGAACACAGAAAAAAAAGAAATATTTGTCACAAGTAAATCAATTTATTTGAGTCGTTTTTTTAAATATTTCCTTATGACAACTATATAGGTTTGATACAAGTTAACATAAATTGTAAATATAACAGTTCACTCGAATTATTTTAGTATTTGTCAGAAGTATATCATTTATTTGTGATAAAGATGCTAAATTTGTCGAAAACAACGACATCATCTTTGGTATTAAAACTCTCACTACTGCTTTCATGACGTCACTTGAACGGCGCCAAAAGTGACCGCCATTATGACCAAGTGTTGATTATTTTGATTACAACTTGAATACATGATAGTAATCACCTAATCACTAATTCTATTTATCGATGGATGAACTATTAATTGACTGAGGATCAGAAAAATTCATACCTAACTTATATGGTAAGTTGTTTAAAATATTATATTTTACGAAAACAAATCTAAATTATTCTTAATCTATAATTAACACTTTCATTTAATAGAAGACACGGAAAATATTTTATTAGTCAACTTAAAGAATAAAAAATAATTTTTTTTTTTTTTCATTTTAAAGCCATTATAATTTCTGAAAAATGATAAAATAAATTTTAAAAAATCATTATTTTCGTCAACTATGATTTATTTATCAGAAATAAACTATATCTTTACTATATACTAGGAATTTAAATTGCGCGCATACGCGCGCGCTCTAATTCTGAACTAATAAGGAATCAGGGTCCATGTTTTTGAGTTATGTCGATACTAAGCTAACTTCAATCTAAATCCCAACCAATAAGAAATCAGGGTCCATGTTTTCGATACTAAGCTAACTCCATTCTACCATCAATTTTAGTATATAGGATTTACCAGAAATAAATGTTTATTTGGCCATATCCAAACATCTTATATCTTTGGTACAAATAAATTTTATGTCGATCAAATATTTCTTTTTTTCTGTGAATAATCCACATTATCAAGCAAATTTAATTATGAACACACAAAAATCTGAATGGATAGACTCTACAGGCTATCCCACAAACTTACAAGTATTTTTGAGCTCAAAATGTTCGAAAATCTATCTATTTTTGGATTTTTGAGCGCTTCCCATGTAGAAACTGCCAGAGTTGAATGACAAGGCCATGCCTGGCCCAGTACTGGACAAACAAAGCTTGGCGCACCGATATTGGCCCATGCTTGGGCCAAGACTGGGTAATCAGCCTTGGCCAACCCAATAATTACCCGAGCCTGTGCCAAGACTGGGTAACCAAGCCTTGGCCAGCCCAAAGATTATCCGATTTTGATTTTATTGTCGGCAGTCAATGCAGTTTTTCAAGCAAAAAATATTTATACAAGGTTTTGAACCGATTGGTCGTAGAGTTTGTTAGTTATCTCAAAAAAACTTTAATTTTTTTTTTGGTTTTTATATTTTCAAATATTTTTGAACTTGTAAAAAATTAGAATGAATTGTTGGTGCTCCAAAGATCTTAAAAATCTTTCAATTCGTTGAATTTTTAGTGCTGAAAGCTCAAAAATTTGATGATTGTTTCTAAATATAGCGCTTTTTTGAGTATCTTTTATACGATTTTGATTTTCTTAAAGGTATTCGACGCAGTTTTTCACCCCCAAAAAGTTTATGCTTGGTTTTAAATCGTTAGGTTCATAACTTTTGAAAGTTATCTCAAAAAAACTTAAAAAAATTTGTTTTGAATGTCTGCTAAAGATTTAATTCTTTATTTTTTATTCCGAACGAATAACTTCAAATTGAGAATTTTTGAAAACTTCCAATGTTTTTAAGTTGACATTAAAAAAAAAAAACTGCAAAAAAATTCTTTAGAAACGTGTAGGAGGTTTGAAATCAGATTCTAATTTTTACGGATGCTAATCACCTGAAAATTAGTGCTACTTAATAGCAAATAGACAATAAAAAATAAAAATGAAAAAAAAATGTTGATTGAGTTTGAATAATGCAATTTATTGGTTGTCGGTGCTGGTTTCTTAGAAAGGAGCGCTGTCGATTGTTCAAGATGTACTCATCTATTCTTCTATTTGCCTACATGGATATTGAACGATAAAGAATTTGTTCGCTGTTCGTTGTGAGATTGCATTCAAATAGCTTCCATTCAATTCCCACATTTATTGCCTCGGGAAAAAAATATTTTCCGTACTTGTACTTTTTCATTATTTTATTATGCATTAGCTTTTTAATTTGCAATTTCTACCTCGTGATTCTCATTGTTGGATAATATTTTGATATTTGATGTTAAAAAGGCTCTTTGATGATTTTTACTAATTAATTTGTCGGAGCTGGTAAGTCGAGTCCACGCGGTGTGAGATTTATTAATGAATTCTTTTGGTACGAGCCACTGGCTTATATTTAAGGTACAAAATCTCTACTTTGTATTTTACACTTAGAAAAAAATTCATGAGCAACGAAACCTTAAATTATCGTTTTTTTCTTCTTTTAGCCATAATTATTTTGTTAGTTTAAAAAATATCAATTCTAACCACAAAATTATCTGAAAATCCAACACCTGATTCATCCGTTCATTCTACGTTCTCTGAATCATGTACTCACTAAAATTTTATACACAAAAAGACAAAATAGTTGTGTTTCCTGTAGATGCATGGATAAATTCGAACTAAATCACACTAAGTGAAGAATTTTTTATAAAATGTCGCAATAAAAATCTAACAATATTTTAATCACTCTTTTTTCAAGATTTCTGATTATATCAAGTGTTAGAAAGGTTTCTTCTCGTCGATAATTTTGACTAAATATTGGAAATACAGAAAAAAGATTAAAAAGCTTTTAGGTAGATTTCATAAAATCTATCTATTGCATTGGCCCTTGTGTCAAAATTCACACAGAATTTCGTTACTATATCAATTATTTAGTCGAGCAAGGCTTAAAAATGACGTTGGTTGGGAAATATTTATGTAATATAATGCACAGCTTGTGGACACGATAACTCCCACAATTCTTAATGAATCTTTATGAAACTTGGTAGACTTATCCTATAGACAATTAGCTTGGATCCTAATATAAAATTGAGATGAAATGTATGTGGCATCAAACTATTCGTAACGTGATTGGTTGAATATATCATAAGCATGAAAATATATGCAAACTCTATAGTCAAAGCGCGCGCTTGCGCGCGTAAATTCAAATTCTAGTGAGTTTAAAAATGAGCTGAATCCATCAAATAGTTTAGAAATGGCAGCCGTTTAAAATTTTCGAAAATCTAAAAAATCACATGTTTGGTGACTTTACTAGGGAATAACTTTTTATTGAGAAATGATAGATCGTTTTTCTGCATTTCGTTTCAAAGCTTATGAAATTCTCTTTAATTTAACCTATAACAAATTTACTTTTCATCAATTACTCCAAAAGTTTAAGAAGCTGAATGTCATCTGAATCAGTTTCAGACAAGCACACAACACAACGTGACTTGTGGACACGGTTACTCCCAGAATTCTTAATGAATCTTTATGAAATTTGGTAGACTTATTCTATATACAATTAGCTTGGATGAGTTCAAAAATGAGCTAAATCCCTCAAATAGTTTAGAAATGGCAGCCATTTGAAATTTTCGAAAATCTAATAAATCACTGTATTTTAAAATTTGGCAGCCGATTTACTTTTCTGATAAACTTGAGGAATGATAATTATTCATAATATCGTAATTAAAATCATGGATTACATGAAATCTACCTTCCATCTTGGCTGGTGCCAAATGGCCTTTTATTTTGTAGGGAATTAAATTATCTCCAAAAAGGTCCTCATGGTGATATGGTCCACCATGTCTCTTTGATCAACCAATATTTTTTAATCATCAATATTCAATAGTTATTTTGTTGCTCATTGATTTACAACAACGAAATCTGCATACCATAAGACTGAATAGCAAAGCTTTAATTCTTTCAAGTCATAGTGAAATTTTCTCATCAATCAGTTACTATTTCAGTAATTATAACCATCTTAGTATCATTAACAAATTCATAAAAATTCAGCTTGATCTCCTGCGAAATCGTCAACATTACAATTTATTTTTTTCCTCTTTAAAAAATCTCAAACTTTTAAAACTAAAAATAGAGAACAGCTCCATAAAAATTTCGTAAAACTTATATCTCAATCGTAATCAAAAACTCGAGAAACTTTTATCCAATACCTTGTTATCGTACACCTTCTTCATATCTACCTCTCATTCCGATTCCATTTCTTCCATTCCGGGCATTCTTGATAAAATTAGCCCGCATTTCTTGAATTCTCCACTCAAAAATTAAAAACTAACATCATCTCATGATTTATCAATATCCCAACTTGTATCATCAAATTTCTAACACAAACTCTCACAAGCGACTCTAAACTCTCGGGCCATCAAAAGTGAAAGGCCAGGTCTCATCATCAATTCTCGACTTTCTCCCACAAATCTGAATCAGATCCAACCATTTTGCACCCAGACTAAAAATCATCACCATCTTCAACGATCAATCTGCAGCTTTTACATGCACTAGTCTTGTCATTGTTAGTGTTATTGTTATATCCAACAAAATTGGATTAAAACTATCGATTCCTCTAGCTCACGTTTTTCAACGACACTCGAGGTCACGGACTAGTCGTGCAACCGGAAACGTGACCGTGAATCATCGTTCCACTTGAATGCTGGTTCTCCTTCTCTTCCCAGCTTTTTCTCTTCTTCATCTTCTCATCGCCGTAAGTTGCAATCAAGTACTGGCTTGGCATACCAACTACAGTCAGTCTCCAGTCTGCTTCGACCGTCACGAGCACTCGTACCGGACTAGTCGGTCATTTCGTGGCATTAGACGTGTGTTAAGTGCAACAATCTTCTGGGAATGGAAAAGAGACACTGAAAAAAAAATAAATCTTGAAACAAAAAAAAAAGACACTTTTGGTGCAAAAATAAAAGAAATTACTTACAGTTTTATCGATAGTGATTGTTGCGGTTATTTTGATCCAAATTTTGTGTTGTTCAGTGGAATATCAAGATATTCACTTGGTTAGTTTTTTCCTTCTATTTTTTTATAGAAGAATTTATTGTTAATAAATTCATGAATTTATTTGTCAACCATTTAATCGTTTGTTAAATACACTGAAAAAAAATTTTTTTTGAAAAAAATGGCCATTGTGACGAGAAATTAATTTGTTTAAAAATTTAAACAATTTTAGTTATTAAAAAAATAGAAATTTTACTCATAGTAATTTTCTTGATGTGAAAAAGCATTTTTGATTTGGATAAAAACAAATTTAGATCGACAACTTGAGAATTATTAAAATTATTATTTAAAATTACTTTCATCCCCACATCTAAAAAATTTTTTTCAACAAGAAAGTGATTGTAAAGAAATTTTCATTTCTTCAGCTTAGAAATAAAACTGGTTAAAATTTTAGAAAATTTTATTTCTTATTACAAAATTGCTAATTTTTTTCAAAACAAATTTTTCCACTCAATGAATTAAATAATTTTTAACTTTTAGTAGATCGTATTTAATTAATGATTTATTGAATGTTGACAAATATTTATTAAATTATTTGATGTTAAAAATGATTGATTAACTTATTAGTTCAGCTTATTACATATTAAAAAATCTTTCTTTCAGTGAATATAAAAAAAAACTTTGCTTGGGATTTTAATCTTGCACCTTTGAAAATTTTTTAATGAAATTAAATATTCAAATTTTAGAATTCTAACTACGAGAAGTGTAGCCACTTAGCGCGGATTTTTTGAACTAACTTATAATTCAATTTATTTTTAATTATTTAATTTACTTTTTAATACACTGATTGACGAATTTATTAACTGTTCATTTATTTGCGAATAATTTATTTGTTTATTCAATACAAATAAATAGTTTTTTACTATTAATTGATTTTTTTAGAGTACTTATGCCTTTTTAACGGTAAGATGTGAAGATTATTCACAAAAAAAGTAATGCCATAACTTTTTATAATAAAAATACGATACACCAATTATTTTGACTGCAAAAAAAATTCTGTAATTTATTTCAAGCATTGTATTATTAATAATTTTATTTTTGATATTATTTATTTGAAGATAATTGACGATTCTGATCAAATCAAATTATCTATTGAAGTTCTGGGGTTATAAAAAGTTTTAAAATTTAATTTTTATACTTACTTTTTATTCAAGGCTCTAAACACATTTTTACTAACAGTTAATAAATATTTATTAACTAAAAACAAATATTTATTAAAAATCAATAAATGACTTACTAATTGTTGATATATAAATATTGATTAATAAATAATTTAATTTAAAAATAATTAATTAACAGTCAATAAAGCTTATTAAATATTAACAAATCTTTCTCACTGTTAGTGGTGGTATTCGTGGTTGCTAGTTGATGTCCAAGACCTAGATGAGCCGAGATAAGTACTTAACAGCTGCCGGTTTTAGTTCTCTGCGTGCACCTCTTAGAGATACACTGATGGTGAATCGTCCGCAGCTAATAGTTAATAGTAAATAGTTAATAACATTGAATCGTTGAACTGCTGAAGGTATTTTGCATCATTATTGTTTGATGTCAGTGGTAATTTTGAGGTAGCTGCGGTTCGTCGGACTTTAATTATTGGTTAACTTTGAAGTAACAGTGAACGGTGTAATGTAATGTAACGGGTTGTAAAGGAAATATGCACATGTGATAAGTAGAAGTGATTACAGTGATATTTTACGGGATTACTTGTAACTTTTTTTGTGAACAAGTCGGTATGTCGGAAGAATTTTTAATTATTATTAATCAATCTCGAGAATTTTCAATCTTCGTTCAGCTACAACTAATTAATCATACTTGAGATTGAATTTTTTCAGTACAGAAAATACTCGGACTTAAATTCAGGCAAACTTTTACTAATTTTTAATGATTATATCTCTCGACAAAAAATACTTATTAATAAATAAAAGAAAATTTTTAAAATAATACAAATATCCTCCACTAAAAATTCTTTTATTTTCCTCACATATTATCTTAAATGTTGTCCATCAATTACAATCCAAGTGACTGTCTAAAATAGTAATAAAATCAATAATATAATTAGTCTATTGATTAATTAAACAAAATAAATTTTAAATATGTATTACTGTTAGAATATTTTGGCTGTCTTTCGATAAAATTTTTATAAATTTTGATGGTAATTTTAAAAAACAAATTTCTTGAGTGAATAAGCTTTTATGAAACTTAAATAAAATTATTTCGATTTAATAATTACACTGATAGAAGGATTTAGTAACAAAATTTTTATTCATTTATTTGGTAGAAAAAAAAAATTTTTACCAATCAATATTATTTGCTACAGCTTAATAAATGATTTTTTCATTCTAAATGAATTATACACGCAAAAAAAAAAATTGGGGCTGCCACATGATACATTCCTGTGGCAGCCACATGATTTTTTCATGTGGCTGCCAACATGATTTTCCTGTGACAGCAGCATGACTTTCATGAGGCAGGCAATAATATTTAAAACAG